TCATCTTTCTTTCTCCCTTTCCTATCCCTCAGTCATGTCTGTCCCGTCTGTAACAACTGAAAATAAAATAAATAATAACAACAAAGGTTGATCAAATGGACCAATACGGCCGTGATGATCCATTTGGCAAAGTAAATCCATTGGGTATCCTTGTTGGTTTTCAGACAACAATTCTGACGGCTAAAGAACCAAATGGGACAGGCAATAAAAGTGGTTCACCTCTTTCTCCAGGGGACATGATTGCAAAAGCATTCATGTGACTAACTTGGTATAAGGCTTTAAACTTTCTGTTTACAAAAGGCTTTGTTACCAGGAATGCACTTAAAAACTTGAGAATGTAACTTTAATCAAATGTTTAAAGTCACGATGATCACATGTTTGCAACATAAATGACATTTGGAATGGGATATCAAATTATGTAGTCAGGTTAGTTTTTTTGTTGTTGTTTTATTGGTTTGGTTCAAAATAAATAGATACATAAAACTTTAAAGCAGGATGTAAACAGACGAGATTAGGTAGCACAAATATTGAAAGCAATGAGTTAAGCATTCGACTAATTACAAAATAGACCCTGTTGACACTAGCATCCAAAATTAATATCCTTTTTCTAATCACACATATGTGATTCACTTCCACAGGAAGCCATGGTCCTGAATTTGAGGAGGGAAAGCACTATGAGGTGGTTCGACCGGTCAGACTTCACACAATCAGAAAAAGACACACAGAGGTTTCTTTTCTTTTCTATTTTAAATCCTGTGATGACAATCAAATCAGCTGCTGTTTTTCTCCTGATTATGGAAAATGAAAAAATAAAAATGAATGACTCAAAGCAAAATTTCCTGTTTTTTTGCCCACAGTACCACAGACCAGACACTCTTACGTATGCAATGACTGTGGGCGGACAAGACATAGAAATGCAACTTGAAAGAAATAAGTAAGTTTTTACTTCCCTAAACCTGTGTGTCTGTGCAGTGTGAGAAAATAAGTGGACAAATGGATATACAAGTAATGTAAAATATCCTGTTTCAAAATAAGCAAATTTTTTTTGAATAAACTGGAATTAGACTCACTCTTCACATCAAATAATGTTATGTTATTCTTTATCTTCCTGTATTTAGTGAATTACTTACCAAAGATTACACTGAGTCTTACTACCAAGAAGATGGGACTCGAGTCACCACAGTACCGAATGACATTGTAAGTGTTTGCGTTTGTAGACAAACTTAACTCAAACTTACAGCTGTAAAATTGCACATTTTACTAGATTTAAAATGCTTCAAAGGCTTTTAAGGATGTTAGTGAACGCTGGAGACATAAGCAGATGAAAAGAAAGTTACATGTTGTCATTTAATAACACAGTCACCATTTTCATGTCCTTGCCAGGATCACTGCTTCTATCATGGGAGGATTGTGAACGACAGTGAGTCATCTGTTAGCATCAGTACCTGTGATGGACTCAGGTGAGCCACCGTCTTAATCTTTTCTTTATTTAAACTGTCATGACATCTTTCCAAAGC